CCAGGATAGAGATCCCCCCCAGCCAATTAATAAGACAGATTTCTAAATGTTCAAGTGGTCTCTTTTATAACAAGTTCAAAGAAGATATTCAAATAGCACAATTCATGTGATCAGGAGAAAGATGTCTCAAGAATTGAAGCTAAAAGGTAATAATTAATAGTGAAAGAATTCAGTGTATAATAATCAGATGAATTCATCAGGGCCATAGACAATCTCAATACCAGATAAATTCCCTAAAGCCCAGCCTTAGCCTATTCTACAAATAAGAAAACTGAGGCTGAGATTAAGATTAAGAAACATGCATCAAGTCCTAGGGACAATATGTGATAGGCTGAACTATCTATTCACGTTGGTTTCTCCTCACCATCACTCAGTACAATAGATAGAGTTTTCCCTGCTCAAGAAATGTGTAAATGGATGTTCCAAGAGGTTAAGAGGCTGGCCCAAAGGTACACAGCTAGTAATTTAGTAGAGCTAATATTGCTATGGGACTTCTGATTGATGCCAAACTATAGTAACTTCTGGACTTTTTGAAGAGCTAAAATGCCCTCTTTGTTCAGGAACTAAAATGATTCCCAAATCTCCTTGTAGAAAATCTGTCCTAGGACCACAGAAACTCCTCAACGAATGAAAAAGTTTAGATTGTTGTTGTTGTTGTTTTTAATCACACATCTTTAAAAGAATCCTTTTCTTGTTCTTCTCTAAGCAATCTGAAAAATAATTGCTAATATCTCAACAGTTATTAAAAAACACTTACCACTGCATTGATACCAAAAAATTAAATATCTAAGTAGAAGATTCAAGCACTATAAACACAGAAGAGTGTAAGCTAGCATATTCTATAAATAGCTCTTTTGAGATTCTAGATTACCTTCCTGCCACAAATTTCTCTCTTTAATATACCTCAAACACCCTACCATTCAAAGATACAAACATTGTAATTGCTCTAAAAGAGAGCTCACATTAAACTTATTAAGGAGCACCCCCTTTTATTTTTTTTATTTTACTTTATTATTATTATTTTCTTTTTATCCTCACCCAAGGGATTTTTTTCCATTGCTGTTAGAGAGAGAAGAAGGGAGAGAGAGAAAAACATTGATGTGAGAGAGAGCATCAGTTGGTTGCCTCCTGAACATGCCCAGACTGGGAATCAAACCCACAACCTTTTGGTTACAGGTTGATGCTATGACAAACTAAGCCACCAACCAGGGTGCAGCATCCCTTTTAAAAGGCTAAACACTGCCTTAATGACTTCACTAGCTGAAACCACACTTTGGAGCACAACTTTGGTGCTTGAATAGTGGACATTTTGTTCTTAGTCAGCAACAGCTGAAATATGAGATATTCTTAATGGAAGTTCCAGGAAACCCAGACCCCTGGCTGCAAAATGGAATACAAGTGCATATAATCTGCTACTTCATGCCAACTGAACTTAGAAAGTCAGGAGCAGAGATTTGTTCTATCAAGTGAAGTCCCATTATCATCCTCATTCTCCTTCCCACTCCACCCAGAAGATCTGAAGCAAACAGTGATAAAATGCAAGTCCTCATGAAGCTCACATTACAGAGACAACACAGGTACAGGAACAAAAACAAAGAGAAATAAAAGTCAGTAAAGAATTTCTCAAAGGGAATCAAATGAGGCAACAGAACAGAGAGTAAAGAGCTTAGGAGGGCTACTTCAGATGGGGCAGGGCGTCGGGGAAGGCTGATAAACACAGCGATCTACAGCTATGCATGTCTAAGGTGATATGTACACACATATGGTGATATGTGGCCGAGACCAGCAGAAAGAGATCGTTTCTCAATCCTGCAGGACTTCCAAATCATCGCAATGATTACCTCATGGGGGGCAGTGATCTACTATTTTTAAACTCAAAAGGAGAATTCATAATCAGTCAAGAAATAAGAGGTCATTATTTTTACTTTGATATTTCTCTTTCCTGCTACAGCCTTGTTTCTTCACAAAGCAAACTTTAAAGCCCTTGAAACTAAAAACCCTAAAGTGGTACCATGTTCATGGAGCAAACTCAGTGGTACACAGTTACTGACAATAACAGTAGTTGCTTTGGGGAAGAGATCATTACTAGGCTTATTGCTCTTACCAACCCACATGAGGCAAAAATGTTTAGAGCCCAGGCATCATGCAGAACACTAAGAGTCAGACACAGAGGCAAAGATGAAGAGAGCAGTCACTGTATTCTCCATGGCAGGCTAGCAGGTGCTGCCTTGAGGTGTGCAACCTCAAGGGTTGAGTGGATTTCAAAATAGAAAGTGCTCAGTCTTGAAGTGTACTTTCTGAACTGAACAGCTGACAATTAAAGATGCTGCTTTGCTTCCTGGATCTGCTGCCTACTACAAGACTGACTTCATGGGTCAAGTTTACATGGCCATTACCACCTATATGTTATTACCATAAAATAGCAAGGCCACTAAATACCTACAATCTGAAAAGAATTATGGGGTGTGCTTCTTAACAGTGAAGATACCTACACCCCACCTACAAACATTCTAAATCAGTAGATTTAGAACAAGGGTGTCAAACTCATTTTAACCGGGGGTCACATCAGCCTTGCAGTTGCCTTCAAAGGGCTGAATGTAATTTCAACTCCTTAGTAGTTAAGCAGCAGTGACATTTACAAAGCCCTAAAATTATTTCAGCCCTTTGAAGGCAACCACGAGGCTGATGTGGCCCCTGCTGAAAATGAGTTTGACACCCCTGATTTAGAACAAGGGCTGAGAATCAATTTAAAAAAAAAAAAAAACAACTAACACCAAAATCAATTTTCATATAGGTTGTATAAGAATTACACTTGGAAAGACATAGATTAGACAACTTTAGATATGTAGACTTCGTCTAAAAGGACAGTTTTCAAAACTTTGTCACCCACTAAGGTTTTTATATGTATGATTATTTATTTTAACCATTTTATATCCCACAGAGAATTAGAGATGGTCCCACTAATTCATGTAGGAGAAATTCTGTTATTAGGTTGGAAAAAATTGAAATATCTGAAAGACAATATTTTTTTAAAAAAGTAGAACTGTAAAAAAATTAAGCTGAATAATAATGGTGGTGATGATAATAATCATATTCCTCATTTCATTTATAAGTCCTATATGCCAAGAATTACTCTATCCTCACTGTTAAAGTTAACAAAACCTTAAAAAAAACTGGCCAGATATTTGGGACATCAAAGAGTGGTCACTATGGTAGTTAGAGGGTCTACAGCCACAGCGCTCAGCCCTGCTAGGTGTGGTTCTTGTCTGTTCTTTAATATGTGTCTTATTTTATTATTCTTAATTGAGATATAACCCAAATACCATAACCTTTACCATATTGAAGTGTGCAATTCATTAGTTTTTAGACTATTCACAAAATTGCACAACCATCACCAATATTTAATCCCACAGCATCTTTATCACTCCACAAAGAAATCCTGACCCAACAGCAGTCACATCCCACACTCCTCAGTCTCTGGCCCCCACTAACCACTCAATGATGCTCTGTCTACGTGCAAAGTCTGCTTGTATAGAAATGATTTTCATGTCCCCTTCAGAATTCTGAAATGAAATTTCAAGATCCTATAAACTATATGATCATATAAATAGTAGCTATGTGTGACATGTGCATATTACCAATCTGTGCATTTCACTTGTTTTGGTCTGAGATCCTCCTGTGTTAGCAGCCATGCCTGTATGGTGTTACCATCAAGGGCTGAAGAAATTTGATCAGATGGATATTCCATGATGCATCTAACTAATCTGGTATTACTAGAATTTACATTTGAATATTGAGTTTTGAAAAAACTAGTAACCAGGTTTAAACATTTGTGTTTTGCATTTTAAGGAGCAAAAAGAAACTACTTCCATTACACTCTTTTTAACATTTGCATATTTAGAAGCCTGGCATGGGGGTGGACAGTGGAGTGGGATAAAGCCGTGTCCCCTCTGCCCTATCACATTATAGGTCAGTAACAGTCTTTTTATTACTTGAAATTTGTTGGCAGTCCCTATAGAACATTCCCTGCTCAAAAGTACTTCCTAGATATTCTATTTTAAAAGTTCCACTGCAGCTAAGTTAAACTTTAAAGCCACATGCAAACTAAGATCAAAAGAGAACTATGTTAACACTGTTTGATACTAAGCATTACCATATTATCTTCTACACTTACAACCAGGGTCAGAGCCATAAAACTTTACTTCACAAAGTGTAACATTAACACCCCAGCCTGACTTGCTTCTGATTTCTAGCACTGGTGGCAGAGGGGCAGGGGGTGCTTTACTATGATTTAGGCATGGGACCTAACTGCATAGGAATTCAGGGGGCTGAAACCCAGCTTTCAGAATCCGACAGGATTTTTGTCTTTTACTTTACTGGGAAAGCAGGGACTATCCTAATAAATTTCCTTTCCTTTTCTAGCACACTTAAAACCCATCTCTGAGCTTCACTGACTCCATTAAGTTAGAATTTAGTACTAAGTAAAAAGGGAGGAAAGTAGGTCTGTGGGTGGAGAGGACAGAGAGAAAAGCAGATCCAAGGGGTAAAGGGGCAGTCTGGGGAACCCATATCTATGAGCCCTTCACTCTAGAATGAAAAGGCAAAACACTGTGCTAAGAGCCCAAAGCCTTGTCAAAGACACCCAGGCTGGAATGGGACCCACAAATCCACGCCCAGTATGTGTGCTCTTTCCTAGAGATTGCCTCACACGAAGTCTCTTGACTTCAGTTTTTGTTTTAGGACTCCTTGATTTAGATTCTGTTTTAGCATTTACACAATAATAATTTTATTACAAAAGATAAAGGTCTTGTAAACTAATGGGAAACACATTGTTTGGTATAGTTTATAATGTCAGGATTTATGTCTCTAACACTGAGGGGCTCTCTGACCTCAAAGATTACATAATGAAACAGCAACGTGCTGCAAATGACTCAGTGTAAGTTTTTATTAGGGCTCACAATTGCCCTTTATTAACTTGTATTCACATAATAAGCACTCACCTTCACAGTCTGTCCAGCTTCGGGGCCGTCCTAGAAGGAGGAAGAAAAATACAGGGGTGAGAACAGAGAGCTGGTATCTCCTGCTTATTCAGAAATATTGCCTGTTAATAATTTAGATCCAATTTCTTTTTGTGTTAATTTATAGTATTCTCTGGGAACCATTTGCTTCAACTATGTCGGACCAGACAGTTCTTCATTTCTGTCCGAGAGTGAGAAGTTATGTATAAAAATGATATAAATTATCCAGGGAGCCAAGCCCTTGCAACTTTACATGCTCTTTGCTCCCAGCTATGGTTTCAACTGCATTAAAGGAAAGCTGAAAATGTTCAGGGAGGTAAAGTATCACATCTCTTGATTATCTTTAAATCAGATATAATTTAATTACTATCTGACTACTTTAAATTTCTGTTCAGGAAATCTGCTATTCCTGTAATTCATTAATCAAGGTGGCCTGTCTCTTATGGCACAAACACTCAAGAGCATGCCCTTGCTGGAGGAGAAAGATGGGAGTATTCATTGTAGCTTGGCTCTTGCCCCATTCTGGTTCCTCCTCTCAGTTTTCTGAAGCCCAACAAAATTATCCTTTTGGTTGAAGATGAGCAACCTCATTGCAGTCACCAAACACAATGCAAAGTCAAAGGGGTTTAGCAGGATTGAGATAGCAGAACAAGAAATGTCTATACAATCAGAAATCCCAAAATTAGGACATTGTAAATTCAGGCGAGTCTTTCTACCTCTATGACCTATACTAAGGGGATGAGAAATCTTGCCCTGAAGTGAGGAGGAGAGAGGGGGTGGGGGAGGTGGGAAAGGCAGAGATAAGAAGAACTCTATAACCAGTGGTTTTCAAACTTTGATGCACAACCCATTAGTAGGTAAGGAAGTCAGCTTAATGGCTTGTGATAAATACTAAAACAAAACAAATAAAATAACAGAACAAAAATTATTAGAATGTATAGAAGGGGTAAACATTGTCTTGTGAAATCCTGGTTTTCTATATCTACATATGTGTATGTGAGGGTATACATGTTTGTGAAATAAATATATATCTTACTATGGGTTAAAGTTAAAAGACATTTGAGCTTGCAAAGATAGCAGCTGAATAAATGGAAGCTGAACTCACTTGCTTGTGCCCCAAAACAGATTTTCAGCTGATCTTCTTACAAGTGATCTAAACAATCAATGAAATCTCAGCTGATAGGAATTTTTGAAGTCAAGTGGTTCAGAATATGCTTTGCACTATTTTGTAAGAGATTTTATAAGTTGAAGGGGAAACACCTCATGCGAAGCACCTGCAGCAGAGGAGAGACCAGACAGAAAATGCAGCTTAGTAGCTCCCTCCCCTTTCAGAGCAGGGGTTTTCAGTCTTGCACAGAGAATTCCCATCCCTAATCAAGAGAGACTGGGGAGGATATAAGGAATCAGGGAGACTCAGGCTACGCACACACACACACACAGTGAACAGCATATTTATAGCTACAGAGCAAACCAGGAGAGTTCCAGAGAAAAATTCTATCTCCTAAAACTGTTGGAGGCACTGGCAGGATGCAGTCAGCCCAGACCAAGAGAAAATTTTTGCTCTTTGGGGAAATGGTGTGCATGGAGAGCTGGTGAGGGACTTGGTGTTTTGGTGTGGGTGCCATACAGAGAGTTTTTAAAAGGGAAGCTTAAGCGTGGCTGGGTAGGGTCCCCACATGCGTACACAAGTGTCCCACCAGCAAAGAAATCAGATTGAAAGTGCAGCTTGTTCCCACTGAATCCTGCTGGGCGGGACAATCAGAAAGCTTCACAGCAAAAGGACTTCAGGGCCCCACCAAGTGCAGCTGGTGAGCAGGGGGATAAACACAAAATGGAAAGTTAGGATCTCAGTCTTCTACAAGAGCAGTGGGCTGGAAGTTAGATGGGCAAGAGCTGAATGCCTGAGATTCTTTGCAGCCAGGTAGGACCCCTCACACCACAGAACACAAACCTCTGTGAAGAATAAAGTGTGCCCAACCCCCACCTGCAAGATTGCAAACTGCAGAACAGTAAGACCAAGCTCAAGAACCCCCTGCCAGGTGCATGTCTGCAGGGGGAAAAGAGAATCTCCAAAAGAACCACTTATGAACTTTTATCAAATGCAACAAGCTATGTTGGTTCCTCATTGAAACCAGCAGAGCAGAGATATTAGAAATGGGCACAGTAAGGGGTATTGAGGGTCTCGCACAGCCTTGGCTCCTACACAGAGCTACTATTAGCACCAAGCAGGAAAGAGCTCACCCTTTTACACAGATTAGCCCCTGACATGAAGCAGACAGCTAATTTATCAGAAACTATACATTATTGTACATAATCTGGGACAGACCAAGATATGTGGCACAGGGGCAGTGGAATACACCCACCATCTTCCCTGAAGACTGAACAGTGACGCCCAGGGGAGAACCAGGGATCTACCCTCCCTATCACACATGAAGTCCCCTCAAGGGGCAGGTGGAGGCCATACATGTGGTGCTGTTGGACATTACATGAACTATCCTCAGCCCTTATGCTGATAAAAAGCCAGCAGGGCAGAAGAGCAAGGACCAGCCAAGTCTGAAGGAGACAGCCACAGACTGTGGATTGCTTGTAGCTTCAAACAGGCTGCTGAAGGCTAGACAAGAATACCAGCTAACATTACCAAAGATGGATCCAGAAGGAGAAGGCAGTAGACAAAATTAAACTCTGTTGAGACAAATCCCACCTCATCCTTTATCATTATTTGCATTATTTTTTTTCCTGCATAGCTTTTTAACATTCTTTTTCTTCAATTTTGGTCCTATTATTTCACTATGTTTTATTTTAGTTTAATTTCAAATCTCATATTTTACTATCCCTTCTCTTACTCCAGTTGCCTTCTTCCTTCCCTTTTTTATTTTCATGTTAAATTTTATTTTTTCCCTTTCTACGCCTTGTTTCTACTCCTCACTCTCATAATTTCTCCTCCTTCCATCCACTCAAAACCATTTTTCTCACCCTGGCTGGTGCAGCTCAGTGGATTGAGCGCGGGCTGTGAACCAAAGTGTTGCAGGTTCGATTCCCAGTCAGGGTACATGCCTGGGTTGCAGGCCATGACCCCCAGCAACCGCACATTGATATTTCTTTCTCTCTCTCTCTCTCTCTATCTCCCTCCCTTCCCTCTCTAAAAATAAATAAATAAAATCTTTAAAAAAATTTTTTTCTTTCCACTAGTCACCTCACATTATTTTTCCCTCTCCTATGATATCCTTATTTTCTTTCAATTTTTATTTCTCTTTGCTCAGTTGCTGTGGATATTGCAGTGGTGGTCATTTTTTAATTTTTCCCCCAATTTTTTCACTAGTTTCTTATTTCAAACTTCACATTACACTCTTCCCTATTCTTATTCCATTTTGCCTTATTTTTGTTAGTCATCTCCTATTCTTTTTCCTTTCTTATAAATTATTATTCTATTTCCACTTTTATTAACATTTGCTCATTTGTTGTTGATATTGTGATTGTGGTTGTAGTTGAGAGGTATTTGTGTTGGTGTGGATTTTTTTTTTTGCTAGGTTGCTTTCTTTTGTTCTGGAAGTACCTGTATAAAAGCATACAAGATGTGGTGGGTATTGTAACTCTCACCAACCAGAGGGGAGCAAGCCAGAGGGGAGAACTCACGAACAAACAAGCCAACAACAACTCAAACCCAATTACAACAAGTGAGCCCACATAACCTGCATAAAGGCCATTCCTAGAGCACCCAGCTCAGGAAATCACCCCTGCGTGACTCCTGAGGAGACTGCACCACTGGGTCGCAGCTGGTCTCCTACCACAGAAGCCCACCCCACAGACAGGGAGTCAAAGCAAATCAATCTAATATGCAGAGACAAACAAAAGGAACCACCTAAAATGGGGAGACAAAGAAACAACTACCAATTGAAAGGAAAGAAAGAATCCCTAGAAAAAGTGCTAAATGAAATTGAGGCAAGCAATTTGTCAGACACAGAGTCCAAAGTAATGGTTATAAGGATACTCAAGGTACTTAGTGAGAACAACAAGAAACTATATGGTATCTACAGGGAACTTAGTGAGAACTACATCATCATGAAAAAGGACATAGAAACCATGAATAAGAAGCAGGAGGAAATGAAGAACACAGTATCTGAAATAAAGAATACACTAGAAGAAATTAAAAGCAAGCTAGATGAAGCAAAGGATTGAATCAGTAAGCTGGAAGACAAGGTAATAAAAAACACCCAGTTAGAGCAACAAAATGAAAAAAGACTGAAAAAGAGTGAAGATAGTTTAAGGGAGCTGAAAGACAACATGAAACATAACAGTATTTACATCATAGGAATATCCAGAAGGAGAAGAAAAGCAGCCAGGGATAGAAAACCTGTTTGAAAAAAATAAGTCAGAAAAACTTCCCTTAATTGGTGAGGGAAAAAGTCATGCAAGTTAAGGAAGCACAGAGGGTCCCAATCAATATGAAACCAAAGAAGCCCACTCCAAGACACATCATAATTAAAATGCCAAAATTCAAAGACAAAGAGAGAATCTTAAAGGCAGCAAGGCAAAAACAGGAAGTAATATACAAGGGAGCTCTGATAAGGCTATCAGCTGATGTCTCAACAGAAACACTACATGACAGGAGGAGATGGCATGAAATATTCCAAGTAATGAAAAGCAAAGCCCTGCAACAAAGACTACTATACCCTGCAAGGCTCTCGTTTAAAATGGATGGCAAAATAAAGTTTCCCAGACAAAAAAAAAGGCAAAAAAGTACGTCTCCACTAAAGCAGCATTGCAACAAATGCTAAAAGAACTACTTTAAGAAAAAGAAATAGAGAGAAAGAGAGGAGCACTTGTATAAAAGAAAAAAATGGCAATGAATAAATACTTATCAATAATACCTAAATGTAAATGGATTGAATGCTCCAATCAAAATATAAGGGGCAACTGAATGGATAAGAAAACATGACTCATATATATGCTGTCTACAAGAGACCCACCTTAGAACAAAAGATCTACACAGGCTGAAGGTGAAAGAATGGGGGGAAAATTCCAAATGGACATGAAAAACAAAGTTGGGATAGCAATACTTAATAACAGACAAAATAGACTTCCACACAAAGACCATAACAAGAGACAAAGAAGGTCATCATGTAATACTTAAGGGAGTAGTCTAAAAAGAGGAAATAACCCTTGTAAACATAAATGCACCCAACATATGAGCACCTAAATATATAAGGAAAGTCTTGGACTTTAATAAGGAGATCTACAGAAATATAGTCATCATAGGGAATTTTAACACCACATTGTCAACAATGGATAGATCGTCCAAACCAAAAATCAACAAGAATATTGTGGCATTGAACAACACTCTACATTAAGTGAACTTAATTGATTTTTATGGAGCATCTCACCCCAAAGAAGCAAACTACACACCCTTTTCAAATGCACATGAATCATTTTCAATGACAGACCATGTGGTAGGACACAAAACCAGCCTCAATAAATTCAAGAAAATTGAAATCATAGCATCTTCTCAGATCACAGTGGTTTGAAACTAGAAACCAACCTCAAGGAAAAAACTAAAAAACAATCAAATACATGGAGACTGAATTACATGTTATTAAATAATGAATGAGTTAACAGTGAGGTCAAAGAAAAAATTAAAAAATAACTGGAAACAAGTGAAAATGAATACAAAACAACCCAAAACCTATGGGACACAGAGAAGGCACTTCTGAGAGGGAAGTTCATAGCAATATAGGCCTACCTAAAGAAGACAGGAAAATCTCATATAAACAACTTAACCTTACATCTAGAATAACTAGAGGAACAACAAACAAAGCTCAGAGTGAGTAGAAGGAAAGGAATAATCAAAATCAGAGCAGAATTAGATGATATAGAGACTAAAAAACCAATCCAAAAGATAAATGAATCCAGGAACTGGTTCTTTGAAAAGATAAACAAAATTGACTAACCTTTAACTAGACTGGTACATGCAAAAAAAATGAAACTAGACCACCAACTTACACCATACACCAGAATAAACTCAAAATGGGCAAAAGACTTAAATATAAGTTACAATACTATAAAAATCCTTGCAGAAAACATAGGAAATAAAACTTCAAATATTCTGTGTAGCAATATTTTCAATGATATATCTCCTAGGGCAAGGGAAATGAAGGAAAAAATAAATAGGACTATATCAAATTAAAAAGCCTCTGAATGGCTAAAGAAACCATCATCAAAATAAAGTATGAACCAACGTATAGGAGAAGATACTTGCCAATGATAAATTAGACAAAATATATAAAGAACTCATATGACAATACCAGGAAGAGAAACAATCCAATTAAAAAATGGGCAAAGGACCTGAATAGGCACTTCTCCAAGGAGGACAGAGAGAGGGCCCATAGACACATTAAAGAATGCTCAACATCACCAGCCATCAAAGAGATGCAAATTAAAATCACAATGAGTTTTGACCTCACACCTCTCTGAATGGCCATCATTAATAATCAACAAACAGCAAGGTTGTGGAGAAAGGGGAACCCTAGTACATTGTTGGTGGGAATGCAGACTGGTGCAGGCACAGTGGAAAAGTGTGGAATTTTCTCAAAAAATCAAATATGGAACTGCTTTTTGACCTGGCAATTCTACTGCTGGGAATGTACCCTAGAATCATGAAACACCAATTCAAAAGAACGTATGCACTCCTATGTTCATAGCAGTGCTATTTATAATAGCCAAGTGCTGAAAACAGCGTATGTGCCCATCAGTAGATGAGTGGATTAAAAAACTGTGGTACATTTACACAATGGAATACTTACTACACAGCAGAAAAAGAGAAGGAACTCCTACCTTTTGCGACAACATGGTTGGAACCAGAGATTATCACGCTCAGTGAAATAAGCCAGGTGGTGAAAGACAAATGCCATATGATCTCACTTATAAAAGGAATCTAATCAGTAAGATAAATTAGCACGCAAAATAGAACCAGGAAATATGGAACAGACTGACAGGGGCCAGAGGGGAGGTAGAGGAGAGGAATGGAAAGAAGGGGAAGGGAGTAGTCAAATAACATGTATGAATGACCCATGGCCATGGACAATGGTGTGGGGATGAACTGTGAGAACGGGGAGTGGGGTGAGCAGAGGAGGCAAAGGTGGAAAACTTGGGACAACTGTAATACAATAAACAATAAAAAATGTTTGAAAAGACTGTATATGTGAAACTACTCAAAGCACAAGTCAGTTCCTATATTTATCAAATTAACTTTCTAGTAAATCATGTTAGAGAACCAGTACTAGCCATTTTCTCTGTATGTGATTTTTCTTTTACCATTTCCCTAAGCACTGACAGATGTCTTCCCCTACTTGCCTTCATTTGGTCCCTCTGTAAACAAGATTTACAGCACAAGCTTGATAGGTCCATCCCAAGCCTAACAACCTGTCTGAAGGTAACTCAAATGGTTTGACATACCACCCACCCTCACATGCACATGTTCCAAGTTTTACAGGAAAGTTTAGATACTATTAACATATATATAGTGGCCAAGAAGTCTATTTTGAGAAGTAGATGAGCATTTTTAGTCAGAGCCTTTCATAACCTGAAAACAGTGACTTTATTTCTTTGTTACCTTTGGTAGAGAGCTCAGGAGCTGAATAGTTCCTCTACTATTCAGTTTAACTGAAGCACTGGGTACAGGGTCTCATATGAGGGGTGAGCCAAAAAAAAAATCCCTGGAATTATCTTCTGGAGGGCAAGCTCCTTGTAGACTTGCCCTGCTAGGTGAGTGTTCTAGTATCTCATTTGTATCAGTGTTCGAGCTGGTGTTGCTGTGAGAGGCTGTGTTCAGCTTCAGTGAAGTTTTTTTGAAGACATTTTCAACACGTTTGCCCATTTCATTATTGGTAATTTATGAGTGCACCTGCCACACTGTGCTGAGTGTTCCACAGTTTTTGACCAAAACCAGCATGACTCCCATGTTCTACCCTTACCATTCACCCCAGCTCACCACAAGCGACCTTTTTTGTTTCCTCGGGGGAAAATTCCTCAAAGGGCAACATTTTGCCAGTCTGGAAGAGGTGGAACAAAAACCAGCAGAAGCACTAAAAGGCATCAGAATCAATAAGTTCAAAAACTGTTTTGAGCAGTGGAAAAAATGTCTCAATAGGTGTATTGCATCATGGGGAGTACTTTGAAGGTGACTGAAGTTTAAACATGTAAGAATAAATACACAATTTTTTATAAATAAATTCTGATTTTTTGGGTCCCCCTCATATTATGGAATAATTCATTTCATTCCAAAGGGTTTTGCAGAGTCACCAACTTTGAGGCCACAAAGGACTTTAATGTGTACTGATACCCCAGCTCTAACCCAGGGGCACCGTACGACAAGGGTTGACTCAGCCTGTGCCTAAAGATCTGCATTGATTCAGGGTCTCATTTCCTTACTAGGAGTCTCGTCATACCAAATATTCAATCAATCCAGCTTCTGGCCAATCCATAATCAATCACTGAAGCTGGGTTTACAGACAGAGAAAGGGTTTGCCCTCTGAGAGTAAGGCCCCACCTAGCCTGCATATCTTGACTCCACTGGAAGTTGAACAGGGCTAAGCTCAGGCAGTGCTTAAAACACAGTTACCATTTAATCAAAACAACTTGTCCAGCCCTAGTTCTAGTAAAAGATCTGGAATGTGATAATGCTCATTAAATATGTGTCCATTACTCCCACCTGTCTTGTAAACAGTGCTGCAGATGTCATCTCAGCTGATATTCCACAGTCCACATGGGGCCAGTGGGCAGTAAGGTGGTCCTGGGTTGTTACATCTTCTTCGACTATTATGTAATGCACAAATAACCACAACTGCCTTCCCTCTAAGATGGCCAGTTAAAAGGGGGACAAAGCCCAATGCTAGAATTTGGAAAGGAAGAAAACTAATTTCTGAGTATCTATATACTCACCTGCATAGAAAAGGTAAGAGAAGTCCCCTGGAAATGCTTTTCCACCACCGTGCCGACTTTCTGGGTTGCCTGAAACAAATCAGCCACTTCATCGGGATGCAGATCTCGGAAGCGCTCCACTGGCCGAAGGGGACACACAAGGACATCTGCAGTGAAGTCTGTTAAGGAACACTTTGCTTGCTTTTGGTAGTATTTTTACCAAGAAGTTTATACCCACAGTATTGAGTCCCCTTGACCCAGGTCTGAACTCTCAAAGACTAAATAAAATCCAACAAATACTTGCCAACAACCAAACAAATACTTGCCAACAATCGAACTCCAAGGACTTCAAAAAGATTTTCAAACATGGTTAATTATACTTTGAAGGAGAAGCTGTGCTGAGCTGAAGAAATTCTGTGAAGAGCAAGGGATATCAGTATCTTGGAGAGACTCAAGTAAGTGCTTGCTGAGATAATTATGCCAAGAGGTAAGATCTGTTCTGTACCATTATTTCCTGACCCCTATTCTAATGTGCTGTTGTCTCAAGCAGCCCAAGGGGCTGGGAAAATAACTGGAATATCCAGCTGGTTTCTCTACCTAGAGCATCGTGATAATATCTCTTTGGAGAAACATGTAATGAAAATATAATAATAGTTTTATTTATTTTATTTTTAAAACTAGTGTAGCCATTCTGAAAACATACAATGAACTTCCTCTATAACCTACAGATGTTTACATGGTTAAACAATTTATGACAAGGATTCCTCAAACTGATGATTAAGAATTTAAGAAGGCAGTTGAAGGTAAATCATTAAGAAAAGGGTTGTCTGCTTTTGCAAACAAAAGTATTTCAGTGCAATTTGTAAGTTAGACAAATCAACATATTTACATTATTGGTCTAAACAAACAAGATCTAGAGCAAATGGATATATGCACTCAATCATTTGTTGATAGCAAATTATCATTCAGTATTACATCATTAATAACACTTCAGTTTCTTTTCATTTTTGAACTTATATATGTGTGGGTATAAACACATATACCCACATACATGCACACATGAGACATACTAACTTTTGTTAAGTTTTTAGATATCAGCAGGAGAAAAATCACTATAATGTTGTTTTCTGTTTTTCTCTTTTGTCCTTTGTTCTTATTGTTTTAGGAGAACATGCTTCTGCCTGAAGCTAAGTAGCTATGGGTCATAGTAAAACCATAATTCAACAACTGCTAGTTTCATCAGAATATCAAGCACTTTAGCCCATCAGACCCATGGTGGGACCCAGGCCCAGCGGAAAATCCCTGAGCTCCACTGGGCAGGCCTGATTTTCATGAGAGCAGGGGAAGGCAAGGGAATGCTGATTAATTTTGCTCATAATCAGGAAATTCATGTCAATGGTAAACTAAGAAAAGGAGCATTTGTTTAATCTGAGTTCATTTTTCAAGAGAGGAGAAGGGAGAGGCCTTCGCCCATGGGGCATTTGATGCTTAAAAAGATAATTATCTCTTTTTTGGCAGGGCTGCTTTATTATCATGGGTCAATGAACTGTTTAGAAATAAAGAATTTCCTTTCATTTCCTTTTTAACAGATTGCCAGTCTCCACTCCCACTGAGTTGCTTTTCTTTGTTAAAAGAGACCTTTCCCCATCTTCTTCCTCCCAGCTTTAATTTACACCCACTCTTAGGCCCTGACTTCATCAAACCACAGCAAGATGACGAAGTTGCAAGCTGCCAACAATACCCACAATAGCGTGGTAGGCTATGTCTACACAGAAACTAGGTGTGGAAGAAACAGCATTTTATTTAAGCAATTGCTTACTGTGAAAGTTGGTGGAATGAATTTGACAGCCTTTGTAATTTTAGTAATGTCAATGACATCTGAAAGCTCTTTTTTCAATGCCATATAAATATCTTATCACATATCTGTCCATTCTGTGAGTCTGATGCTAAGGATTAGCTTGGCCAAATGTTTAATGGTTTAAAATGTTTATGGAATCAAAAATGTCTGAATTTGTCAGATGTTTTATCCTGTGTATCTATCCAAATGCTGGGTTATACACCACATAAATTTATTATTTTGATTAAACATTAATAATAGTAAGACAACATGACACAAAACAGTTAAATAGATTAAAGACATTCTCATTTAGGTGACTATTTTTCACCAGCCCATTTAGGCAACATTGTCCTGACACATACACTCTCTGCAACACAATCTTTTGTTAAGAAGTTATTTTATGTGCATATGATGAACACACATTTCTATGCAAATAATAAGATAAATAAAGATAGCTTGCAAGGCTGCTTACTTGGACAGGTGTTCATAGCAGTGACCGCTTTCTTTGTTTTGCTGGGACCAACAGGATGGCCTAGCAGGCCTATTAACCTGAGAGTGACCACAAAGGTAGGCTCCATACAACCCTGTAGGAAGGTAGATGGGTCTGGAGTTATACAAGGTGAATCCCTGGAGCTCTGGGTGCTGTGTGAGTAGTTGACCTGGCCAGCAGCAGGTCAACTATCCATCCCACTCCCTGGGCCATTCTAGGGACTGATTGAACACCAGAAAGTCAGGATCAACCGTCTTCCTTCAGCTCCTTTAAAGCCAGAGCAGAACAAAGCCTCTGCCTGAACCTCACAACAGGCTACATTCTGCCTGATACCTACTCACCTCCACATCTCCTCTTTCCCCACCCCTCTCTTGCACACTATATCTGCTACGGGTGCTTTCTTTCTGTTCCTCAAACATAGTAAGCTCCTTCCCTGATTTGGAGCCTATTCCCTGGCTATTTGTTCTTCCTAGAATTGAATTCTCCATGATTTTCACATGGTCATTCCTTTCTTATTATTCATATTCTAATTCCAATGCCACTCTCTCAAAGGAATATTTCACTGCTAAGTGGTTTAAACTGCTACCTGCTTACTCACTCTTACATCACCGGTTTTCATCTTCTCTGGCCCTTGCCACCAGCAGATGGTTTTCTTCTATTGGTTACCACCTACCTGGATAAGAACATAAGCTCCACAACAGTGAAATTTTAGTTTTGTTTACTGATATTTCCTCACCACTTATGACATGTGAGACACTGAATAAGTATTACTGGAATGAATAAATAAATAATACACAAGATCTCATATCAGCCACCTCTGAGTACTAAAATTCTGATGAAATTCATTTACTTTTCAATTATCTATACAAAACTGGGATAGGCTGAAAGATATTTTTTTTTAATTCGAAGAGATTTATGCTTAATATCTAACATAGTTAGAACTAGTGTTGGATAAGAGCTGGAGAAATGTAAACTCATTTGTAATGTAAACTAATTTTCATATAAGCCCAAAGGAAATATAATTATGAAGGTAAAATCCTTTTTAAAAATCCTTTTATAATTAGAAAGAAGTGGTTTCTAGAATATTCAAAGTCTCAGATAAACTACATATAGAAAAATGCTGCTTTATACTATGACTAGGAAATGTAATTCGTTTGTTCATTCAATGAACAGTGAGCACTAGTTAAGTGTAGACATTGTGCTAGACTCTAGGCATTGCAAGGAGAGTAAGAAGTTGCTCTTGTCCTTCCATTCCAGGAAACAGGGATTGAGACAGAGAGCTACAGCACTGTGGGAGGCTATAGAGGCAGAGAAACGTGGGGCACCTTAATAAGGTAAGGGTTCCAGAATAACCATGAATAAACTCTGAATTGCATAGATTATCCCATGGCTAACTGGAAATATAAATGTGTTCGTAAAGGATTTATAGCAAGTAAGCAAACTTTTTCTGCAAAGGACCAAATATGTAAATATTAATATTTTAGGCGGGTGGGCCATGAGCCCAAGGAGTCATACATAATACAAACACTAATAGGTGTGGCCATGTTCCAGTAAACAAAAGGAGGAGGCTGGCCAGATTTGGCCCGTGGGCCTTAAGGTGTCAATCTGATATGGAGGAATCACATTTGAAAGAGGTAACTAAAGGGAACAAGACATGTTGGATTCTTACTTTTCCTTCCCTAAGTTGAGGACTACAATGCTACCTTAAGAGCATACTGGATAAATCTTATGGTATCTTACAAAATTTAATTGTCTAAGAAAAACATCTGAGCATGTTAGAGCATGTTCATGCCTGTGTACAATGCTTTTAAAGACTAATCACATCAGAAAACGTGTTATGATATCGATATCATGAAATGAATCATGAGTATTTCTCCCCAACACAAGTAAACCAAGTTAGTTTCATCTCTAATTGGAAAAATGCAGCATATGATCTGCAAACACACGAGAGGATCAAAGTAGTGTGCTATTTACAAACTCATTTGAGAATAAAAGTATTTTCTCAAAATAAGTGCATAAGTCTTGGAAGAAAACATTATATTGCTTAAAGATGGTAGGTGTGTGTTACAGGTTCCTCCTTGACACACAAGTCAGGGAAAGCAAATTAATTTTGAAGGAGAGTAGACAGCTCTTGTAATTCTACTGCCACTGTTTATATGGCAATTATTTTAAGGTAATATCACAGATGTAGTATAATTTAATATGGAGACTCTTAGGCTTTGTTAATGGACAAATCCTATATTACACACAGACAATAGGAACTCACTTCTTCTGCATCCTCTTTGCTTGAGGTTGACATCTCCGCAGAGACTTGTTAGCCAGCATGCAAAGATAGCCCCTTGAGGAAGTTAATCTACTCAATGGAATTTAATGTATGTTGATCCAGTATGTACCACACATGAAAAACTGTGAAAGAAGATTATCAAATGCAATCTGGTCTCTCTCTACAATATAAATAGAGGCATCTATTTAGTAATAACAATTTTTCAAAAGAAAAGAAGACCAATAATTACAATTTAGTGCCTATGATTGACAAAAACATTCCTCATAGCAGAGGAAAATCAAAGAAGGCTTCATACTGCAGATGAGATTTAAAGTGGGCTTTACAAATGGGGGAGTAACTCAAACAATGGGTCGGCTGGCAAACCCCTCACCCATCCATTTCACAGCTAAAGCCTTCTCTCAGCCCAGGGCTTGTATTACAGTTTAGGATGCCAAGATGAGTACAATGGAGTAACTGACCTTGCAGAGTTCACACTCTAATATCCCAAACTGTCGTGCAGTGTAAACAGATCATTACAACACGGAGAGATGAGAGCTATTGATAGAAATCAGTGCAAATTGTTGTGGGAGCACAGAGGAGGCTGAACCTAATTCTGCCAACGGGCTGGATAAACTTTTCAGTATGGGCTTGTGTTTCCAGGCTCTAAAATCAGCATGTATTTCTCCAAATTTGGATCAAATCAGTCCTTGAAAATGGCCTCATAACTTATGGTTAGCTTCAAATAAAGTCATCAGGCATTCCCCCTTTAGCTAAAAATCACTGTTTCATTTATATATGTACTCAAATGTACTTTATCTTTCCAACTAACCCATAAAATACTTTCATAATTCCTATTTTTCAGATGAGGACATTTCAGCTTATAGAAAATAAGAAACTTGTGCAAGACAGCACCACCCCCAATACAAGACTAAACTGGACTTTAACACAAGCCTGTCTGATTCCAAAGTCCATGTTATTAACCAGTGCTCTGTGATGTTTTTTATCTTTCATGATCAGTCTCTGTTTACCCTCTTATTAAAAGTGTGCACTGTGTTCCCAGAGTTCCTTTGTTCGTGGAAGAGAATTGTGGGTTTCATGAAATTCAAAGATATTGTGCAAAACTGCTAAAGTCCTGAAAAACACCTAGCCTTGAAGGAAGAAAGCAGAAGAGACATAAAGTCTTATGGTGGAAGAGCGCCTCAGTGCTGGACAGAGGAGGTTATACACAGGCCCCTTGTCCTAACACAGAACTGTGAGTAAGGGCAGCAACTTCAGAGAACTATCTTGCACCAGGGGGTTGGAGGGAGGAAGTAATGTGAAATGCAGGGCCTGCATTTTCTCTCTTTTCCATCTTTAAGTGTAGATTGCTTCAAGGTAACTTTGACTCCACTGGGCTGCCAGGCTCCAGAGTAAGATTAGATATTCTGATCAATGTCAATGGATTACACTGTCAGACACACTGAACAATCCCTTTGCTTTTGGACAGCCTAATTATTGGAAGCCATTGACTTCCTCATAGTATCATTTATATCACCAAGACCTACTAAAAACCTGGTAATGCCTTTCCCCCCCTTTTTCTCTCCACCTCACCACCAACTCAGAAGTGACTGTCTCATTACATTGGATGTAAACACAGTGTGTTTTTGCCACATTACAGTGATGTGACAACATGCCAGGCCCTGTGGTAAACTCTCACTGTTACACAGTGAACCCAGGATACACACAATTATAGAAAGAAATCAGATGAATCTTTACTAGTCAAGTACCTAAAATGGTTGTGGTAGGTTATTTGCAAATATTACTACAAGAATCTTTCCCATTTTGCATGCCCCTCTTCAAAGTGACTTTGCTCTTCTTCACATCAAGAGTTGAAGGCTATGTCCCCTCCCTTTGAATCTGCACTGGCCTTGTGACTTGCTTTGATTAGTGGAATGTGACAGAAGTATTCCTATGTGACTTGCTATGTTCAAGTATTAACAAAATTTGCATCTTCTGGGTTTTGTTGTTGTTGTTGTTCTCTTGGAATCCTGATAAGCATGCTGTGAAAAAGCCCAGCTAGCCTGTTGGAGAACAAGTCACATGGAGGAGAACTGAGATCCCCAGCAGATAGACAGCACCCACTGTTTGGCCTTTTAGACCTAAGAAAGCTACTGCCTGACTTCCAAACTTCTGTCTCAGTTATCTATTGCTGCATAATGAACTACCCTAAAAACACAGGTGCATAATGGAACATTGACTTGTTTTCTTATCATAATCCTGTGGGTACTTTTGCAGCTGGTCTCACCTGAGCTTACTCATGCAACTGCTTCCAGACAGTGCACTGGGCCCCTAATCTCTGTGCTCTTAAATTCCATCTCCTTATAGAAGGAGTGGAAAGAACACATTGAAAAGAAGCATGGGCACTGGAAGTCACATAGTGTCAACCCACATTATTATAACAATCTACCAAAGTTAGTGACTCTGAAAAGAAGTTCTGGGGGTTTTGCAAAGACGAACAGTTGCCCAAGGTATCTTGGATATTCTAGTGACTGTATACACCCATGTTATTTTAGAGCTGGGATGGATTCTAAATATTATCTACTCCAATATCTCCCTTGTTGAAAAAAAATGGGGGTTAGAAAAATTAACTGATTTGTTCAAAGACACAGTTAAGGACATGACTGAAATTGAAATTCAGCTGTTTGGCTTCCCAAACCAAAGTTCTTCCTATTTATACAGGAGATGGCAAAATGTTGCACTTCAGCTATATATTCCAATACTAAACCTATGGCAGACATTAGCAATTGACTACAAAATTTTCTTTTTGCACCACAGAGACTCAGAATTCTTGTCAATCCTGATCTCTAAGCAATCACCACCAATGAGAGTGGGTATAGAACATGAAAACAGCTAAGAACCACAGAAACAATGGCAAAGGCCTGGTGGAGTCAAGAACAAAGCAAGATTCTGTCAAAGTGAGAATCTGCCCAACTATACTAGATGTTCATTGTGTTACTACATTATTATTCAGAATAAATTTGATAAGTTCAAAATTTGTTCATCAAGGATAATAATTGATGATTAAAAATAATTTTATGAGTATTTCCATGACAAATATGAAATATTTAAATATGGAGTCATGACAGAAAAATGGAAATGTACTAATTTAGATGATTAATTCAAGGAGACAGCAGAATATCATACTCAGACTTGCTCCTATCTATTTTTCTATATTTGATCTATTCTAGGGATTCAAAATATAAAAGCACTAAAATAAATCAAACCATCAAAAATATCACTGATTTTGATGAGGTTGATCAGCATGTGTATATATGAATATGGAGTGAGTCTGTATCAACTGTTATGACAAGGAATTAGCCATTCTTCTAAACTAATAATAAAGAAGAGTCTCTATTCATCTGCAAGGCAAATCAGTATGCAGTTAAGTCACAAGCACAGAACCTTCCTGCCTGCACTGCAGAGTTCTGCAGACCCTTGTAGTGAATCACTTGTTCTAACAAATAATCCTAGACCTTGCAAAAACCATAAGCCCAACTGGCATGAATGCAATTTCAGAATGCGATGAATTCCAGCACAGTGTGATCCAGATAATGATACTACTCTGTTCATGGATCTGTACCTGGATCTCAAGGCAAGCATCTCACCAACATCTGCAAGAATTCTCATGCTCTGTCCTGGAGAATGCCTTGGGCCAAAGATACAGTGTGAGTGAGTCTTCAGTTACCTAGGGGCAGAGAAGCCAGGTATCATTCTCTAGGCACTGCTCTGGCTGCTCAGAGGTGAAAATCAAATTCATAGGGAGAAGCAAACAGGCAGCTTTCAAAGAAAGCAAAAGGAAAGAGAAGCCTGCAGCCTGGAGGCCAATTCTTTGGTCTAAATTTCACACATAACTCTGTGATTTTTTTAAGTCAAAGGAATCTAGTGTTGATTATACTAGGAGAATCAGAACTGGCAACAGTTATGCTTATATGAAACTAAATATGTGGGGGAAATGAATAGTAACAGAAGGGGAAGGAAAGAATACATAACATTTGTTTGCTGCCTACTGTGCCCTTTGAGGTAGACAGTATCACCCACACCTGTTTTTCCACATTCAGAAGTTGAAACTGAACACGTTAATCTGCATAACCAATATCACAGTGATATAAAGCAAAAGCTCTGGAGAGGGCCATGTGGTATTTAAAGTTGTCTACACTGTTTCAATGTCTCCCAAGTTCATAAAAGTCTCCAAGTACTATTGCAGTGTTCACTAGAGTGATTCACCAGAACACTGGGTCCATGAGATGTTTTTAGATACTATACAAAAAAAAATCTTGTGGACAAAAAGATTAAGAAATGCTGAATGAAATTAGGTAAAATAAGTCTTTTATTTACAACACTACTCATCAGTATGCTTAATGTGCTAATGTTCATTCTGACTTCCCCAAAAGAAGAGATACTCTGAAGCATTTCTCATATTTGCTTACAAATAAAACTATTATTATTTTACTTTTTTTCTTTCTTTGTAGAACATTGCATAGGACAAATATTGCAGGGGATGTTTACTGGAAATACTGAGCATCATTTATCTAAACATAGAGATACTGAAAAATTTCTGCTTTTTAATCAAAAAGTAGCCCTGGCTGGTGTGGCTCAGTGGATTGAGTGCCAGCTTATGAACCAAAAGGTCAGTGGTTCAATTTCCAGTCAGGGCATGAGCCTGGGCTGTGGGCCAGGTCCCCAGTTGGGGGTACATGAGAAGCAGCTACACATTGATGTTTTTCCCTTGCTTTCTTCCCCCCTTTCCCTAAAAATAAATAAAATCTTAAAAAAAATAAACATCTTATTATTCATATGAAGAAATCAAGAGGGCATTCTGGTAAATGAACTATTCTGAAAAATTGAGCATTAAAATACATCAGATGGGACATGGTAGTCATTAGTGCTGTTTGTCAACTATTTGAGGTTTTTGCCATGTCCAGGTACATGGCTTACGCATCATGGATCTTTGTGGTTTGGCGAAGCTGAAGAAATTCTGACCAAGGATTTGTGAACAAAAGTGATATATTTCACTTATAAACTAGGGCCCTTAACTGCTAGTGTGAAACTCCAAAGCCCTCTTTCCTCTTCCACAGCAACCAGCCACATTGATTGTGTCGTGGGTACCAGACAACCATTGCAGGTTTTCTCATCATCTGTTCTTACAGTGACAAGAGCAAGTTTGTTAAATAGGTTTTATTTCTTCTGCTAACTCCAAATAATTTGTAATAGCTGTTTAGAGAAGTGTGTTAAAGAAGATTCAGAGGCCTTGATAAAGATCAGGAGAGAAGATGGAGGGGTATATTAGTATGTATGGTCAGGAGGTTGGGAAGAATATCAGCATGCATACTAAGTATCTGCCATTCTTCAATTAAAAAGCAATAAAAATATTTTGCTAAGGCTCGCTTTCTTGCTTTCTTAATGGCATGGAAGTCATATCCAGGTCTTGAAATGTCTAAGTAACCATGATAAAAATGTAGTATTATTGGTATTGTCCTGGAGGTATATAGAAGTATGTGTATTTTTAATAATTCTAGTTAGAAAAGCATTGAACAAGAAACTTACTGTCACTCATAAAATGAAAATATGGGAGTGGGGGGCATACCAAGATGACAATGCTGTAAAACTGTCCTTAAGTGTTAACAATAGAGAAGTATTGCAATAGAAAAGAAATGAAGTACACTCCGCAGCTGGAATATTTAAAGATTATTCACAAAGAAGGATTAAAAAAAATACATATGTACTCCGTAAGAATCACCTCAAAAATTCTGTGAAAAGATTTTAGTGTAGAGTAGATCAGAAAGTAATGCTAATGATCTGAAATTTACTGGAGATCTCCTGGAAAAACACAAGCAAGATCAATAGTTTACATCCTTACAGTATACTATCCTGTGAATGAGGACAGAGCACCCTGAGTGTCTACTTCCACAGGGCAGCCAGGCTAAACCCAGACATGAATAGAGCCCTCCCAGGACAAGCTCCATCAGGTCCCGCAAAGTATGGATTCCAGCTGTAGGTTTGTTTATGCCACTCAACAGCCAGTGAAAATTCCAGTTTCCATCAGATCATCAGTGCAGTGGGGTAAACCAATGAAGCCACCCACACTTCACATATACAACATGAGGGCAAATGCATGTGGAACAGAGAGATTCTTTAATGAGAGAAAATGAATAGAGAGGACATAGGAAGTAAAAAGGAAAGAGAAAGACATAAAAAGGGAATAATTAGCAGGAA